CGGAGATAGAGAGGACGAAATAGATGCTAAAACACTCTATCCTGCATGAACGTTTTCAATATTCGCAATTCCAACTCCTGACTCGCTACAGTGGTTTTGACGAAACAAGATGGTTTTTATACTCCCAAGGGCGTAGCTCGTACCAAGAACGTGGTGAGCTGAAACCTACGTACGTACGGCACGAAGAACCGCTAGCATCCAATAGGAAAGTTCAACTGCAGTAGCCAGCGTTCTTGTATTTAGGATGTATTATTTCCTTATTTTACAGTGCATAATGGATTCCTGTCAATTTCACGAAAAATAGTCAAAGAATAGCACAACACAGCTGGGTTTCTGCCCTCTAGACCTCACCTTAACCCTCCATCCAACCTTCCCTGTTCAAATATGTTGCCACCCCCTGACGTTCACACCCTCTTCTGAGCACTTTCCCATAATGCGCCTGTGTTTTCTCACTCCACAATTCATATGATAAGCATAACATGCAGAATAAAGATGAGACTTTGCTCCTCTGCAGCCAAGGCATTCCTGAATAAATCCAATCACATTACCGAAAGACAAAACATACACACACACACATGCGCACACAGAGAGAGCACTGTGTTCATTTGGGTCACCCTGTGTTAATATAACTTCTCAGAAAAACACAACACACTGAATTCTTGGTGTCTGAAAGAGTTATCTCATAAGAGAACAGACAACAAGTGAATCAGAGCAATGATGACTGACTATGAGCTACAACAAAACATGTGCCATATTTTCCCACGATTCCTGAATGTCCGATATTCTGTGTGTTATATCGTAGCTCAGACAGGGATTTAAAAGCGGTTCAATGACCAGAAACTAAAAACGAATGAAATAAGAAACAGTGCACAGAGTCCCTTTCAATTGTTTCAGAGTAAATGCTGATAACCAGCTAGTAAACGTTATTTTGTTCCAAAAATTTTCCATAAAAATCAAAGAATTTGTTGCAGTTAACTTTCAGAAAACACCCCTTCCATTCCACAAATCTTTTTTATTGCCCATCATGTGTTCTTCTGAGGGGTCGTCATGTGTCCAGTGTCGACTGCGGTGACTCAGTTAATTTTGTCTTAATCAGGTTTACATTTGAAAAGAAGGCCAAAGATCACAAATATATATTTTCTGAACTTTTTGTTTCTAATCCTTGGGCTAATAGGAATATTTGTTTTGTAACAATTTTCTAATAAACCATCAAAAATGGCATCTGTTGTCAAGTTGACACTATTTTTTTTTTTAAGAAATAATGTAACTGATAATTTTATTCAGCAAGGATGTATTAAATTGATCAAAAGTGACAGTAAAGACATGTATAATATGTCAAACGAATATTATTTTGAACTTTCTATTGATTAATCCTGGAAAGAATGTATGATGGTTGCCACAAAAAAATTAAGCAGCACAATTGTTTTCAACATTGATAATAACGTTGATAAGAAAGTTTTTTGAGCATCAAATTGGCATATTAGAATGATTTCTGAAGGATCATGCGACACTGACAGTGAATCTTGAACAAGGGGTGTTGTTAGCCACGACCTGGAGCGGAGTCAAATCAAGTACCGAAATCCGATTTATAAATTACATATTGATTCTAAAATTGTGAAATATTTTAATAATAATAAAAAATTTAAATGAGATTATTACATTTTATTTTATTATTATTAAATTATTTCACAATTTTACAGTTTCCCTGTATTTTGATCAAATAAATACGGCCTTTATAAGCAAAAAAAAAAAAAAATCTTCCTGACCCCAAACTTTTAAGCGGCAACTTATATCAGTATTGCATTGCGATTTAATGGCAACATTACTATCACAGACCAGTATGCTAATGTAAACAACCACAGTCTTCATAAGTTGAGCCAGTTGATCTGATTGCCTGCCTCTTTAGGATTATCCCATATACTTTACTAGAGATAGGCTGGTGATTAAGAGCACAGGCCCAACACAGACCTGTATTTCAGTGGTTATCTTACCCTCACCAACAGAGGAATCTGATCTGTGCTGTGTCTGTCTGAGTCTCTGGTCACAAAACGCTCAGGTGAGCGGAAATCAGATCCGATTTCGGGTTGTGAGACATGACCCTTCCTGTCATTTGACTCAGGGCTGGATTATACTTACAAAGGAAACACAAAGGACATCTAGCGCAGGGGTTCAGCTGAACCTCTAGATGTAAAATGTTTACTTGAAGTATCCACTGAGATGTCAAATTAATATTTCAATATTTTAACAACAGATTTACACGTGAACAACATTAACCAGGAGCATGACATGCAAATAAACAGATAAAAAAATATTCTGTTAGTAAGTGTTTTGATTTTATTATTAATATTATTATTTATATATATAAATATATATTAAATTTTAAAATCTAATTATAAAAATTAAGACCTAAACATATTATTGTTGTAAATTACAATTGACCTGTGAAATAAAAAAAACATATATTTGATTAATTGTATCCTAAAAGTTTTTTTTTTTTTTTTTACACTTTTACACTGCAATGCTAATAACATTTATGGGTAAAATTCTACTTCAAATCTTTGTTTTTGTTTTGCCGAAATACTATTGAAATGTAAAAATGTGTAAAAATCTGTCCACAGAAATGCTGGAAATTAAAGTGAACTTGCGTTCAACGTTGTGTTCCCAAAATGCACGTTAAACTCAGCGCACATACAGCAATTGTGTTGGTGAGAAGCAGCATTTACTGTGAACTGAGCTGAAAACACTCTGAGATGTAATAGAGCTTTATTCTAAAACATGCACATAACAGTCAGAGTCAGACTATATATATATAATCAAATTGCAACCTTTGATTTGATAATCACACTAAGTCATATCATCATGTCAGCCATATCATGACCAGTGAAGTCCCAGCGACTCAAGGCGCAGAAAGCTCCAAATTTCTAAACACACACAACAGCCCATAGGGCCCAGTCTCTGCATTATAAAATGCAAGATAGGGCACAGAAAACTATGTTTAATGTTATTAATATCAATCAAAATATGACCTTTTCAGTACGAGGTCTGCCACTATGATCAACAGAGGCTAGGGAACCTCCAATGACATCTGGCCAGGGGCCTCACCAGACAAAGATAGGGCCCTAAAAATCTAGTGAGCTGACAACCAGCCTAGACAGCATAGTGGCAGTATTTTGACAGCATTTTGGGGTGTGTGAATAAAAATCCAGTGAGCTGTCTATCTAAACAGCATTTTAGGGCGTGTGTCTCAAAACCTACTGAGCAGCCTGCCTGGACATCATTTACAGTGTGTCTCAAAACCTACTGAGCAGCCTGCCTGGACATCATTTACAGTGTGTCTCAAATCCTAGTAAGCTGCTATCCGAGGAAAGTATTGTAGGCATGTCGCACAAACTCTACTGAGCTGCCTGTCAAAGCATAACTAAGTTTTAATAGCAGTATGGCACCTAACGTTAGTCAGTTTTAGGCAATTTAGCATAGGCAGACAGCTCACTAGGTTTTGTCAAAGTGTAGTATGTGTGTGTATAACACACAGCCAGTGAGTGTGTATGTATAACAGCCGTCTTCTCGAGTGATAAGCAGTTGTGATGTGTGATCCGCGGTTGTCTGCTCAGCTGGGTTCTTACCCTCGGACGTCAGGCGGCAGAAAGGCCGCAGCAGCTCGGGGAAAGTCAGGTTGTTTTTGCGGGTCACTCTCTCCGCATCTTCGCTGCACAGGACGGCCACCATCGGCACGAACGAGTCCTGGATGAACTCCTGCACTGACTGCACGCACTGAGCCATGAGCGCGGCCCTCGTCTGTTCTTCACCGAGCTCACGGGTCTGTTGTTGACTGCTGTTGAAAACAAATACCTCCTTTACTGACAGCCGACGGCAGACATGTTGAAATCCACTGCTGCCTGCTGATCGAATTTGCCCAAGAAGCTTAGCGGTGGTCAGGTGATTTCACTTCCGCAATAAAATAAAAGCTCTCCTTCTTCCATAATAAAAGCCCTGTTACCGATAAAAAAAAAAAAAAAAAAAAAAAAAACTTTTACTTTCTGTATTTTTGATAGACAAAGACAGACCGGCAGAAATGTAATACAAGTTGAATAAAAACAACATTTGTGTAAAAGAGTGTAACATTAAAAGTAGTGAGAAACTCTTGTCCTACACGGAATAAAACAATAAAAAGGGTACGACTTTTTGCTTGCAATTGCGAGTTTACTTATCAAAATTCTGACTTGTTTTTTTTTCTTTCTCTCTCTCAGAAATCCGAGTTATAAACTCGGAACGGCTAGAAATAAAGTCAGATGTCATATAAATTCAAAATGACAAGATATAACCTTTTGTGTCAGAAACAAACGTCACTAGTGGACATAACGAACCTGAACATATAATCATTGTTGATTGTTGATTGGCTACATCTTATTTAATGGGTGTAAATTTTACATTGACGATTTTGCGTTTTAGACAGACAGATAGGTACTGAAAACACGGATAGACAGACAGACAGTATAAATAAAAGTAGCCTATGTCCCAGGACATTGTGATGGTTAGTCAGCAGTGATAAAGGTTATTTTTTGCACTGATGGTTCCATAATGAACCTTTCACATCCATTGAATCTTTCCACTTCACAAATCTCTAAAGTTCTTCTGATCACTAAAGGTTCTTAACATAAAAGTGCCTATTTAAAGGCATAATAAGGCATAATAAAATTTTAAAAAGTGCATGTCCAGACCACAATGTAAGTATTCAACAAAACTCACTTCTCCCATATTATAATCAGTTTGTTGCTTTCATACAAATATGTCCATTAGCCTATATAAACAGATTTTGAATTGCATAAAAAAGATATGGCCTCATTCAGGGTCTCTGAGTCACGTCACTTTATTTAGAAGACAAGTTCCAGGCCATCTCATATTTATCACCAATGAAACAGAATGTGAGCTGACGTTGCAGAGCACACTCCCTCTTTAAGGCAATAAGGAAGTTGACTGTACTTAAGTAATTGCAATCTGAAAGTAAAGATATCAACAGACTAAACTGCCAGCATAGCTGACAACTGGACAGCTGACATGTCAGCTTCAGAGGAAGAGGAAGAGTGTCCAGTGTGCAAAGAGAAAATAAGTAATCCTTCTCAACCTTCATCATGCTGTGGAAAGGTGTAAGTGTGATTTATATTTCAAATAGGCTATATACTTTTGGTGCCTTCATGTGGAGTGGACACTTAAAACAGACAAATTTAGATCAATCTCGTAAGTTTTTAAGACATGTATTAAACATAACTTAACATTCTAAATATTTTGTAATTTTATACAAAAAAGTCTTGGATGGAACTCACTAAATTAATCACATTTTCTCCAAAAAAAAAAAAACACACCGTATTTGTATTTGTATTTGAAAAACAGTGTTTATGGTGGAATTGTTTGTTATTTGCTCTTTTTTCATGTGCTATACATTTATATTATATCCTCCACATATAAATATAATTTCTGATAAACATGAGCTATCAAAAGTGAAAGTCTTTCTAAAGGGAAATTCCATCACATGACGTGTTGACTAGGCTACCTCTATTGACAGCCACTTTATTCTTCTTCCTGATGATAGTTGATTATTTTACACTCTCTCACACAGTGTTTGTCTTTCTCTGTAGATTTTGCCAGAGATGCCTCAATCAATCTTTTCGATTCAGGACTCACTGCCCACACTGCAGATTCAGAAGCAATGTTTCTCCAAATAATCCATTGGTAATATGGCCTGTGATAAATACCATCTTTCTGTAAGTTCATTAAAGACTGAATGCTTAAGAATATTTTTCTTGCAGCCTAGAAGGCATCTGCACCAAATCCTGCCAGGGAATTTTGATGTATTTAATTCAAGAGCACGTGAAGGCTCAAACATACATACGTAAGTCTCGGGCAAATTTCAACATTTAGTGCCTTTTCTGTCAAACTTGAATGAATTTACAATGCTTTTAAACCAACAGTCTCATCAGCCGACTTCAAGATCAACAGACACAACATAGAAACACTGGCGCTCAAGTCATTCTGCCCAATCAGGCTATGGCACCTGCCCCACAAAACCAAGCCCGTCCTCTTTTAAGTCCAGCCACACGACCCGTTCCAATGCCACGGATTCGAGTTCAACCTGCAAATGTAGCAACCTTAAATGCTGCCCAAGGGGGTGTTTTGCAAGCCGCCCAAAGACCTGCCCCGGCTCCACTGCTGCCAAACCCTGTCCCACTGAATTCAAACCCTGTCCCACTGCTTCCAAACCCTGTCCCAGTGCATCCAAACCCCATCCCACTGGTGCCTTATGCTGCCGGTCCCGGGGAAGATTTACAGGCGATGCTTGATGATTGGTAAGTGAATAATCAAGAGGATAATATTGATAATAAGTTTGATCGACTTGGCTAACTTATATTTTGTTTCATTCACAGGCCATGGCAAACGGAGATCACTCTAATGGAAAATAATCTTCAACCTCAAAGGTGAGGACATCGGTATATCCACTTCTTTTCATAAACACACTGCACTGCCAAAGCATGTGGAAAACCCCTTCCAATGAACGCCTTACTGGGATGACTATTCCAGTAATTCAACAAATCCTAAACTTACGTATACAATGACATTCTAGAGCAGAGGGGATTTCTTTTATGCCAAATATGTTAATTACCCAAAAAGTGTTTCTTTCTATTTGTATTGTTTATTTTAATCTACTTATTTTAATACATTTTTAATATTCAATTTATTTTAATGTCGTAATTTTATTTGTATTTATTTATTATTTATATCTCACCCCACTAATGTGCTAGAGTTTGCTATACCTCTTGTTAAGTTGGTGCTCATTTTATGAATTTTTTTTTCAGATTTTTCTTGTCTGCAAACATGTTGTCCAAATAATGCACCATTAGGCTATACATAATTCTAAAAATAGGGTAATTTCAAATTGATAAGCATTTATTTAGGATCATTTTGGCATGAAAAATGAACGAACATTGTATTATAGCCTATACTCTAAAAAAATAAATAAATAAATAAATAAATAAGGTTAGTTAATAAAGTTCTTTATTGGCATCTTTGGTTCCATTAAGAACCTTTAACTTTCTATTGCACAAAAGGTTCAGAATCAGATTAATAAAATTATTTGAATTTCTAGGGGTTCTTCAGGAACCCAAAACGGTTCTTGTAGTAGGCCTATGGCATTGTTGCAAATAAGTAAGCAAGTAAATAAATAAATAAATTAATTAATTATATATTTCATAATTGCATAATACTTCAAGTCTGCTAAATTTATATGAAAAAAATAATAATTAAATAAATTAAAAAAAAAACGTAGGCTATTTTACTTGTAGATATTTCATTTCTCTGTTGTTTTCTCTCTCTCTCAGTTTAACCGTGAGGACATTTGTGTGTCCATACTGCCAAGATAATGGAATGGATGAACTCGATCTACGCGATCACTGCAATGACCGTCACGCCAATGACAGCAGACGTGTGGTCAGTCAGGTTTCGTGGTTCTAATGTCCAATGTGTTGAATCGAACTTGCACCGCATTCATTTGAAACATTAACTAGTTCCTTTAATTTAATTCCATTCATATCTCCGCATTCTAATTTGAGAAAGCATTTTAAACACACCTTCAGTTTGAAATGAATCAGCAGTGCTGACTGGTACACGCTCAAGAATTGTTGTGTGTCCTTTTGCGCCCTCTAGGTGTGTCCAGTGTGTGTGGCGACACCTCACGGTGATCCGCAGTACTACAGCCGCAACTTCGTAGGCCACCTCAACCTGCGCCACTGCTACTACATGGACGATATAACTGTATGTCATACACGTACACAAATCAAAGAACTTTCCCCAATAAATATTTAAAACACACTGTCAATATTTAACTGTAATCCTTTATTTCTCTGATCCGCAGAACCTGCACCAATCCGATGAGATGAACATTCAGTGTGCTATTCTTGCATCATTTATGAAAAACATTTAGAGAAACATAACATGAACAACACTGTTCTCTGGGGTTTTCTTTCTGGACAGCATCTAAAATCAGTTTGTAATCATGACAAACGTGAATTAAAGCAACAACAACAAAGAAACAAATTGAAAAGTTGATTATCTGATTAAGATGTGTTGTGTTTTCATATGACACCATTTCATCATATAAATTGAAGTTCTTTTCACATTTTCATTCTAGCCTGTTGCCTATGATCATGCCTTTAACAAGATTTATCAGCTGAAAACACGCGCTTGCACTTTCTTTGTAGATATAATATATAAATAGTGTGCAATGTACACTTTTTGAAGGATTTAGGATGCATCTGTGGAATATCTGTTGGATTAATTATTTGAATGGCTTCAGGGTCTGCATCCCGCACTGTAAAATATATATTTGTGAAATAAAAGTTTCTACTGTGAAACAACATTCTGTGGATTTTTTTTTTTAAATCACAGACTTCAGGAAGTGTGTGTTTATAATTTATATGATGTGCAGTTAAACCTCAAACTCTTTTATCATGTAATATCTTGGTGACCATCAGTGAAATCATATCCTATCAGCTGCAGGCTCTTATCAATGCAGACTAAGCTCTATAAGAACTATAAATTGGTTCATGCACATGTACACTGATATTTTGAAGAGAAGACTTAAACAGTAACGCGATCTCATGGCATCTCTCAATACATTTCTCATTCTGTCCTTATGTACCGCGGTCCTGGGTTTGGTGAGTCCAGAATTCACTACTTTCAGTGTCAGGATATGTCATAGAAGACCACAATCTTGTGATCATATAATACATGTTAAACAAAAGGAACTTATTTTAGTGCAGCTACTTTAAATGTATTGATCCCGAGTTTTATGATGAATTGGTTATTTCACAATATCAAGGCACTGTCATTATTTGTTGCTGTAAATGCACACCTTTGACACTTTCCTCAAATGTTTTCTTTCAAAGCCAACATCTTCACTGTCAGGTGAGTCATTATGATCACATTCATTCAAAATCACATTTGATTTTAAAGGATTTTATAGGCTATTATGCTCTGGATTTTGACTTTTCTTTTTTTGTAGGAAAAACAGAGATTGATGTAGATAATGGAAAAGAGCAGGATATATTTGAAATAAATGAAGGTTTGTGGAAACATTAATATGCATCTTAAATCTGTAGCATTATTTGGATTATACATTTGCAATAAGCGCTGTGTTGTTCAACAGAAGCAGGACTTCATCTGGTGGAAGGAGACATTCTGATGGAGAAGGTCAGTGCTTTATAAAACAGGTTCTCGCTGTACTTTCCATGAAGTACAAAATAGCACCAGAAACCTGTTTTTTTTTTTTACATTTAAAGTCAATTTATTTATTTATTTATTTTTTCATGAGGTCTGTAACACATATGTAGGACGTGCAAATACAGTTTGTGTAATAAACAGAATGAACAAACTTCTAAAATATATATATTTAAAATATTTCAAGATGCTTATCTGATGTAATGATGGGTCTGAATGAGGATCCATCGGCGGTTTTATTAAAAAGCAGAGTTATAAAGGTGCAGTCCACAATAACAGCTTAAACAACACTAACAAACAGATAGTCCGGGCAGGAACAAACGTGCATAGTCCAAATACCAGGCAAGGGTCAAGCAGGCGGCGAGAATCAAATACAGTAACAGTCCAAATCAAACAACACGGGTTTAAAAATACACAATGAATGCTCACTAATGCTCACAAAAGATCCCAAATCTTGAATTTTCAAAATGTGTGCGGTTGTGATGTACTTATTGTATGTTTGTGTGTGTGTGTGTGTGTGATCAAATGCAGGTGAGAGTGCAATCAGTCCCAGAAATGAGGGCCTATGCAGGGGCGTGTCTAGAGCATTTTTAGTGGGGGGGCCATGCTGGGGCACTGCCTCCAAATGGGGTGGCCACCAGTGACCAAAAAAAAGCTAAATTCTAAAGTATATTACGTAAATCCTATTGATTGTATTATTTTTTTAACTTGAATAAAGTTACTTGTAAACAAATGTAGTAATAAAGCACATTTTTGATTAATTTCGTTTTTTGTCATCCCTGTATTCTGTATATATCCATTAAGTTCAAAAATAAAGCGCGTTTTTCCTCGATTAGATCTTTATAACAAGATGATCAACTTGTGGCAGTTAAACTGGGCGTTTGGTTAGGCTAAATTTGAAGATATGCGCGTCGGTGCTCTAACTAAAACGCAACTGAATCTGCAGCTACGAGTTGGCCCTCGTGAGACCCTCGTTTGTTCCAAAATAATAAAAAATAATAAAAAATAACTTAACCAAAAACATAATAACATTTAGATCTGACAGGTTTTGTCAACATGTAACTCAATCAAGTCACTGAGTCGAGAAAGGGTGAGAGAGATTAGCCTACCTGACAATCAATTAGGCTAGGCTACTTTAAGCTTCATAAAAAAGAACTCGCATACAACTTCTGCTCCAGTCTAACGTTACTGATTTTTGTTGAGAAAGATAAGCATGTTGATGACATGATGTGGGGTCAGACGCGACCGCAACCTGTATGGTGACCCTCAAGCCTTGTTTACACTTTCGCCTGGCACTTCAGTATGGCGCCCGGAATGTTCCATTCGGCGACGAGACTGACAAGCAAGATAACACACTTCAGCGCGTGAGTGCGAGTCTCTGCAGACTGCGCGTGCTTGCGGTCGCGTCGAGTGTAAACAAATGCTTCAGTCCAGCCGCTGAAAACGCCGCTCTGATGAGGGGACTGACGTTGCTGGGATGCACAGGTACCTCCGCGCTAACATGATCAGCCCGGGGAACACGTTCACTTTCCACGCACACTACGCAACGCAGCAGCATTATATGATAATCGATAACAAATTAACTGGCCGTTGTTTCTCTGGCGCTGCACTTCTTTGAATCACAAACTTCCGTAGAGTCTATAAACTGATTGGCCGTAAAATGAATCAATCACAAGACATCTTATAGGGGGGGCACCTGGGGTGGCCAATCGAATTTCAGGGGGGGCCGGTGCCCCCCCTGGCCACCACGTGGACCCGCCCCTGGGCCTATGGGAAATGAAGCCCACAAGAGAAAGTCAATATTGGGATTATGGCTCCCTCTGGTGGTCAGAAGTGAGGCCGTACGGGAGCCACTTGTAACAATAACATAGCAACAGACCAAAAAACAAAAACAAAAGTCAAACTAAATAAATATTATATGAGCTGTTTTCAAATGCGGTTTGTAACTAAAATCTAGGACATCTGAAAAAAATTTCAAGCAATAAACATGACAAAATATCAAAATAAAATAATTTTAGGAGATGCTTAATCTTCAGAAAATGAGTAAACCTCAGGATGTCAAACTATCCTGAAGTAAAATAAAATAAAAATGGCAATTTGCTAATTAAATAACATGGATGTGTAAATGAAGCTAATGCACTCAATTTGCTGCTTATCGAAATTGCTTAATTAAAACGAGCTTAAGCAACAAAAATCTATACATTTTGTCCAAACTTAATGCGATTGCGTTCAATCTACTTAAATATACAGTATGTAAAATTTAAGTTTACTTGAAAATTTAAGATTTGTGTTGGGCTTAGCTTGTTAGTTCCCAGCATGCTTTGCATTTGGCTGAATTAAGAGGGTATACATTTCTAAATTAAGTGTTATTTTATGTGTTTTTGAGAAAATGAGAAAAGGGGAAGACTTTATAGTACGTAATTGTGTTTAATGTTCAATTACATTGCTATTATTAGTAACATTTAATTAACTTATAAATTAAGTTGCTAACTAGTGCTATTAATACTTATACTAGAAATTGATTAATGTGACATTAAAATAAACTTTAATTGTATTTGTGGATGAATGAATATTATGAATTATGAATACCTGAAACGTATCAGGGAGCCTTTTTAAAGACACTGGCAATATTAAATTAAGCTGTGCCCAACCATAAGTTGAATCAACCTTAGTACATTAAGTTGACTCAATGAAAGTACATTCAATTGGACTAACAGAATTGCATAATGCTGAAATAAAGCAAGTTAATTATGTGGAAAACCTTTCCACGATTTTTTTATGTTCATTCAAAGAGTTATTTTTATGTTTGGTTTGTGTTTAACAGGGAGAAAGCAGAAACACTATTCTGGGTGAACAGTATCGCTGGCCTACCACTGTGCCGTACTTCCTAGACAGCAGCCTTGGTAGATCAGTCTATAAAATAATTGATTCAATTCAGTTGAATTATTTATTTGATCTTTATCTGAAATACTCACTTTAACTTAATCTTTTAAAAAGTCTCGCTCACTGTCTTTCTCTCTTTTGTGTATCATTTTCAACAGAGATCAATGCCAAAGGCGTGATTCTGAAAGCATTTGAGCAATACAGACTCAAGACATGTATTGACTTCAAACCCTGGGGTGGAGAGCCAAACTACATTTTTGTGTTTAAAGGCAGCGGGTGAGGAAACGTCAAACATTAAACTCAATAATCAAGTCTATCCACACAATGGATGTAATTGTGCTCTCATATCTCAAAACAAAAACAGAAAAGTTCCACTCTTTTTATACATAAAAAAATAGATAAGGAGCCTTATAAAAATTTAACAATTTAAAAGTATTAAATTATATTTGGTAACACTATTTTGATGGTCCACTTTAGACATTCTACTAAGTAACTTTGCAACAAAAAGTGTTAGCAGATATTAAGCAAACAGTCTATGAATACTAATGATGGGAAGTTGACATGTAGGCCTACAGTTGTACATGCAAATTAATGATCAAGAGTTAGTTGACCTAGTTGCAAAGGCATTAGTAAAATGTCTAAAGTCGACCTTTGAAATAAAGGGTTGCCTAATATTTTATGCCAGTAATAGCATTTAAAAACTTTTCAGGCATGTGCAAGCTGCAACAGTAAGGGACCTTTTCATCCCCCCTTGGACTGACTGAATCAATCCGAAGGGGTGTTTATTTTTGCAACAAAGTGAAATTCAGGATTTTTCTCTGTTCCAGATGTTACTCGAAGGTGGGCAATCGACAGATGGGGAAACAGGATTTGTCAATTGGTGCAAACTGTGACAGTTTAGGAACGGTAGAGCATGAGTTTCTGCATGCGTTGGGTTTGTGGCACGAGCAATCCAGAACTGACAGAGACGACTACGTCACCATAGTGTGGGACCAGATTGAAGAGGGTAACTGAACTCATAAACCGGTTTAATGCCATCGAATAATACATCACTTTTTAGTGATATCATTCTATCATGCCAAACGCTTTACTTTATATTACCTATTATTACATCATGCAACTGTTTACTGGTTTAATTCTCACAGGTAAAGAGCACAACTTCAATTTATATGACGAAACGGTGTCAAGCTCTCTCGGTGTGCCATATGATTATGCTTCGGTCATGCACTACAGTAAGACATCCTTCAACAAAGGCCA